GCGCCTGGATTCTCTGGCGCGACGCCCGAGCCCCGCCGGGCTGCGGATTGGTTGAAGGTCGCAGTCAGGTAGTTTTCCTGTTGATCAGGAGACTCTAATATGCATAATCTTAAGGTCACAATAAAAACAATAATAGTAGCAATAATAATAATAATAATAATAATAATAATAATAATAATAATAATAATAATAGTAAGGACATGCAGGATTGAAGGACATGAATGGATTGCGTGCAGTGGAAGTGCTTTCAGTGGTGGTGTCAGCGAATGGATTGATCACCACACATTGGAATGGCAAGAGACCGCGAAGAAATTAAAACTGACTGAGAAGCATTTGCGAACCTTTCAGGAAGCTGCATTATTGGGAACAGCAAATAAGAGTCCGCATATTCTTAAGCTTGAACTGCCGTATATCAAAAACCAATTATATTATTGTTCCAAATTACATTCAAACTATTGTTGCTTTGGGTGAACTAGAACCCTGATATCAGTGTATATCCACAGGAAATATTATTATTATTATTATTATTATTATTAATAATAATAATAATAATAATAATAATAATAATAATAATAATAATAATAATACCGGCGCATACTAAGTGAAAGCGAAAAGACTAAGAGCTAAGACTAAGAACAGATCTTGGTGAGAACGGAACTCACTCAGCAGACCTACCCAAGATTCAAAAACGCTGACCAGCCAACGACGATACTTGCACAGCGGGGCGACTTGCTGACATAAATGAAAATGCGGAATACAATAAGCTTTATTAGTGCCGAGGCTCAGACCGTAGGGCATGCTCTTCCGCTTAACCACTGAATCTATATTAATAAAGAGTAGTAACATTTAAGAAAGGGATGGCAAGCTGAACATTTACGTCTGGGAGTGCAAAACTCGGGACCAGACTGGCATACGCCTTCAGCAATTGAGTAAATCCAGCGATTGAATCCATCGATCGAATATTTTACGACTCGAATGCTTAGAAACATTTGCATAACTCCGAAATTAATAAAGCTTTATATCATCTCTTCAACATCAACATAGAAAATTTTACAGCTGCATATCCTTTTAGTTATCTTCCAAGCGATTAAAAACACAGCAAACTGGATATCACTAGGAGTTCGTGAGGTTTAGAATTATTGGATCAAGAAATTAACACTATTACATCCACATCTGGCATAGGCCTTTAATGTAGTCTTAGAAAAACCAAAGGAAATCCCGGAATGGCTCATACATGGCATCACTGTTTTGCTACCCAAAGGGAGAGATGGATCTCTCTCAAAGAATTATAGGTCAATCACTTTGCTGCTAGAAGAGTACAAAGCTGTAACTGCAGTATTAGCTAACAAAATGTAAGAGAGAACTCCTGTGGCTGCTCAAATCTTGCTACTCAAATAAACACCTTAATTTATGGAAGTTAACAAAACGTTATTTAAGCATGACTTTGTTTGACTACCACAAGTGTAGTTTGACACTAAACCTCACGGAAGCACTGTTAAGTTTCTGGAATTTCTCTTCAACATCTTGAGTTTTGTTAAGTTAACTCATGGAGTGCTATGGGGTCGAGCAAGTAGACTGGGGATACATGTTGGAAATCTATATTGGCGAAGAATAAGAGAATCGAAGAAGAGAGTGGGGAGTAAAAGAAAAGATTTAAAGGAGTTTGGTAGGATCGGAAGAAGTGTTGAGTGTATGAACAAATCATGTTATCACACCAGAATGTTTATAAGTGATTATGGAAATGATGGTGGAAATTATTTTTATTATTAACCACATTCCACGGATGCTTTGCACTCCATCTCATCGGGTATGTTAGATCCGTTTTGCTCTTCCTTTCGATGAATATATAAATTATGTTGAAATGCTTTGGTCCATATTTTTTTCTTCAGGTAGAGAAATATTCCTGTTCTCGTTTTATTCATGGTCGAAATCTTATTGGGACACATTTTTTACTGCAAGCAATTTTTATTTATATTACTAATTTCCAATGCGCATACAATTGAAATAAACCTATGCAGGGTCCACCCACGTGAAAGCTGTCCATAGTTTTGTGACATACGCAGGAACACGGGGAAAATTCAAAAACATTGTAAATGGTTTCGATTGATTGATTAACTAGTGATTCCATGCACGTCATCTGGTAAGGTCATTTGTCTCCTAAGTGTAGCGTATGTTTTTACCACAGCAGGTGACGATAATATTTCTCCGCTGAATGCTGAGATCCGGCACCGACCGACACGTCGGCAAATGTGGTTTTCCGCAACAAGGGCTGGGACACGCTATGGACTCCCGACCGATTTCCGGCATGTGTGAGAGTGTAAGTGTGTCTAAGTAAGACGTGAGGATGGGAAGAGGAAGGAAAGGTCCCGTACGGTCCGTTGCCCGTGTCCTGCCACCGTCGGGTCTCGAACCGAAGACCTCCCGGTCATAGGTATTGCAGTGACAACAGTTGAAGCCCTTAGCCACTTCTCCAGGTAAACGATTTCAATTTTGACTGGTAAATACAATCTTTGGATGGTATTATTCCGCCTTTTCTCATACTGCGCGTACAGACTGAATTCTATATTCCGTTTCACTGATTACGACACAGTAGATGCATATGTGAATGTTCGTAGGTGGAAAGAAGACTGAAAGATGACTGCTGCTCCTCAATATGAAAGTGAATTGCACAATGAGGTGTACGTTAACATGCAACACAGGCTCTTTTCCTGAATTGGACGTTTTCAAGTTATAGCTGAGGTGTTAGTAGGGCAGAAATTGCAATATTTCAATATTAGGTAACTGTTTTCAATTACACAAGTATCTGGTGTGGTAGCTCCTCTACATTAATTACGAAGATTGCACTCGATTCTCTCCTATTTCCTATGGTGGCTACTCCAACCAAATCGTTTTGTGTTGAGCAATATGTATCTTCATCATCGTCGAGAACAATGAAGGATGACAACAGCAATGCAAGATTGAGATTAGTAGTCGGTTCGAAATTCGCATATGAATGTGTTAGGCTCCCTCGCATCTTGTTCTCGAACGCCTCTCAACGAAAAAATAATTAATGGAAGTGTACATAAGGAGAAAGGATGCAACGATAACGCAAATCCAAAAATATACCGTACTAATCCAAAACATACCGCATTAAAATAATTTTGTTTGGTATTTGGTTCAAAACGTGACATGAGACTACTTTTGTGGACGAAACATTTTTGTCTTTAATGACAAACTAAATCGAACAAAATTCTCAGGCATCGTCGAATTGGTTTGTTACGAGTGTAAAGATGTTACGCATTTCAAAGTAGGACTTGGGCGAAAGCATCGTGCTTACGTGAGAGGGGAGATGCCGAGACTTGGTTAATGGCCAACTCTGAGCGCCAGTGACCAAACCGGAAGGGAGTCCTTGAGAAACAAGTGGGGGACCTTGCGGAGAGGAAGAAGAGTTGAGATGAAGATGCTGGAACAGTTCGGTCATAGCGACTCGCGTGAGAGGTGCACATTAGGAAGTGCCTAATTATCCGTTAGACGCAGTTAACTACCAATAATTAACAGGTTAGACGCCACTTACTAGTGTTCCTTGCATTATGTTAATTGGTACAGAATTATTTGCTTCAGACGGTATGGTACTTATGTCGCTATTTGTCACGCTCTACTTACAAAATCAGTACAGAAGTTACCAAACCGAAGTTGAATCGTGTTTACAGAATATATTGAGCTAATATAAAACGAGGTTGACGTTCTGAATTTCCAAATATGTGCGTTGTATATTCTATAAAAAACCATAGTACTTCATTACTTTTCAGCATCATAAGAAATTTCATGCTTTATATGAAGATTATTGAATTCGTTAATCATTTTAAAAAATGCAAAGAAATCTTCCTGCAAAGAAATCTTCCTGCAAAGAAATCTTCCTTCCTCTTGAGAAAGTATACGTGTGCATTTACACTTAAACGAAAGTTTTGTGAATCGATCCTCTTCCGAGAATCTTACAAAAAAAGACAAAATTAATATATGAACGTCATATTACAAAATTACACCGCTCAAAGAAAAACACTAAACAAAATTCAATTCCACCTAACATATCTTTTTTAAATTTGCTTCTGTAATAAGTCATCCACATTTAGATCTAAAAATACATACGAAGGTTAAATTGACTCTTGTGCTATTTACTATACTACTCGATATGTCCTAGCAACGATCCTGTATAACAATTTGACTTCAGTGATGAATTCATATTAAAGTCCATGTTCTAATTTTTTGCATTCGTATAGCTCAACAAAATATAACAAACTTCCTGACTGACCGGGTGTCGCCGCGTCGTTGGCTGAGAAGCAGACGTTTCGCCTGTCATATCGCAGGCTTCCTCACGGTATTACTACCCCAGGGTCGCCCTCAGGGGCGTACTACCCTCAGGGTCGTCAGTACCCTTAGGAAGCAAACGATATGACTGGCGGAACGTCTACCTCTCAGCCAACGACGCGGCATCAATCGGACAGCCAAGAAGTCATGAACTCGAGCCGCGGAAGCTTACTTGTACAAAACATAACGAACGCTAAATCAGTCATAGGATTTGAACTTAATATTTCTGTGTGTGACATTCTTAAGAAAGTTATATTTTGTTTCAAAGTACATCAGGCAACTTAACGATGAGATGTTCTTGTCGCTAACTTCGCTATCTCGCAATCGTGCTATTTGCCGCTACAGCCGACTAGCGTAGCGCTGTCGGTCAAGGAAAACATCGCGCCTCGTGAATGATAGGTTGTGGGTTCAAATCCTGCTTGAGGGATGGCTGATTTAATATTGTAATTGTGATGTGGAAAGCAATGACATTTAACGATGTATTACATCAAATTACGTCCATCATTCTTTGCTGGCGTAAAATTTCGTATCGGTCAAAATCCTTTACTTCGCTGTACATATCTTGATAATATTCATTCGATCACAACGTTCTTATTGGAGGGGTACCAAAAAGAAGACGAACACTCACGCGCCTAAAGATATGGAGTTAAGAAGTCATGTTTATTCAAACGCAAGAGCACGTAACGTGTACTCCATTCATAAATTTTCTTGTACGATATTTCAGAAAGTAGGTGAATGAAACAGTCCCCGGGGAGTTGCTCTTTCCAGCAGAGGTGAATGATCCCTGGAGCTTCTCCTGAAGATGCTATCTGCGCTCCACAGGCAGTGCTGCACGTCGCTTCGGGCATCCGGCTGGTCCACCCGTGTCCCAGCATGGGTAACATCGTTCGCCGCTAAGGGCGCTGACTACCCTTGCCACCCCATTTCGCCGCTAGGGGCGCTCGTGAGCCCTGTCCGCCGCGCGCGCTGTCTGTCGGCGGGCAGCGGAGTCTGGTGCGTTGGTCGTGGGGCCCAGCCGCGCCACCCGCCGCCAGACGGTCGCCATTTTCCACTGGGAGGGGTTCGGTTTTTCGGGCAGCGTCTCGCCGTGGCAAGGCCCTTGGCGATCACGAGACCGCCGCGCGCCCATGCTTCTGCGATGGGACTGGCTGGCTTTCCTCGCGACGCAACCGACTCGACGCCCCGCCGCAGTCCGCACGCCTTTTCGAACCATAGGTCCCGGAATCGCATTAAAATCGCTTGCGTTATGCGCGACCGGGGTCACCTCTGCGCGGCGCGTTGACCTGGCGCCTGCGCCTGCCCGACGACCGGCCGCTCGTGCTCCCGAGCTCGCTCCCGACTGCGTCACGGGTCCGTTCACCGTCGGCCTGATTCTCCTGCGCGTCGACCCCGAGCCCGCCGGTGCCTGGCGGATTGGTAGTCGTGAAGGTATACGCACATAGTCAGTTTATTTCCCTGTTAGATCAGGAGACTTTTAATATTTGCATAATCTTAACGTGAGGAGGGATTATAATGGCCACAATTTATCCACATTAAAAAAAACCAATAATATACAATCTATAAGTAATAATAATAATATCATAATAATAATAATGAATAAATAAAATAATAATGATAATAATTAATCATAAATTAATAATATAATGCATATATAATGAATTAATATATAATAATAATGTTAATAATAAATAATAATAATATATTAAATAATAATGTTATAATAAATGGAAGTAGTATAGTAAGGACAAATGCCAGAGAGGTGTGAAGGACGGATCGAATGGATGTGGCGGTTGCCAGGGTGGAATATGTGCTTTTCAGGTGTGGGTGGTGTGGTCAGCTCGAGGATGGTAAGTTGATCACCATTGCACATGTGGGTGTTGGAGAGAATTGGCGATAGAGGACCGCCGTACGAAATTAAAATGCTGAGCTGAGAAGTTCTATTGCGGACCCTTTTGCAGTGAACGACATTATTCGCAACATCAAATACTCCCGTATATCTATGCTTGGAATACTGTACGTATATCCAGAAAAACCAAAATTATTTCATTTGTTTCAATTTACTGTGCAAACTATTGTTTGCCTTTGGGTGATCTAAACCTTGATTATCAGTGTATATTCACAGGAATCTTATTATTATTATTCCTATTATTATTATTATTATAATAATAATAATAATATTAAGTAAGAATAATTTATATAATAATAATAATGAATAATATCTAAATAATAATATAATACCGCGCTTACATATAAGCTCGAAAAGTTGAAAAATAAGTGGAACTACAATAACAGAACATGTTCGGAGGAGCGTGAACCCACTCCAGCAGACCTTCCCAAGATTCAAAAACTTGCTGTACCATGCCCAAACGACAGAATTTTTACATTGGCCGACAGCGGGACGTCTTTTTGCTTGACATAAATGTGAAAATGCGGATAAACTCTTAGTACTTTTATTAGCTGCCGGTATTGGCTCAGACCGCAGGGCACTGCTTTCCGCGTACACCAGTGTATGAATCGTACGATTAATAATTTAGTGAGTATCTAACAGTTAAGAAAGGAAGATGGGCTAAGCAACACTAACATATCCTACGCTGTGAATGGTGGAGGTTGTCCAAAAGTACCTTTATTGGGACAAAACTCCCAGGCGGCATTACACTTCGTATCATATCTGAGTAAGGAATTCCCAGCCAAGTTTGAATCATCGAATTCGTGAATATTTGACGGACGTTCGAATTGCTTAGAAACATTTTCGAGTGAACTCGTGCGAGAGGCGAAAGTCAATAAGGCTGTTATATATCAATCTCTCTCACAACATCAACATAGCAATATATCGTTACAGTCTTGCAATCCCTTCAGTTATGCTTCCAAGCGATTAATAAGCACACCAAAACTGTGAAATCACTTAGTCTGGAGTTCGTGTTTTTTTAGAATCATTGGAATCTAAGAAAAGATTAAGCACCGATTTACGATGCCACCAGTCTGGTGCATTAGGCCTTTAATGCTATTCTGTAAGAAGAAAAAACCAAAGGAAAATCCGCCGGTAATGTCGGTCGTTACAGTTTTGTGCCATCACACACTAAAAGTTTTCTACCCATAGGGAGAGGACTGTGATTCTCTCTCTAAATCTAATAGATTAGTGTTAATGGTCCAATCCACTTTGCTTGCTTAGAAGAAGGTTACAAAGCTGTAAACTGACTAGTATATATCGCTAACAAAATTTTTGTATGAGAGAACTCCAGGTGAGCTGCTCAAATCTAATTATGCTACTCAAAATAAACACCTTAAATTTCAATGAGAAATTAATACAAAAGCGTAATTTTAAGTCATGGTACTTTGTTTACTACCAACAAGTGTATTTTAGTAATTTTCTTTTGATCACCTAAACATCACTGGTTAAGCACTCTGTTTAGTTTCTTGTAATTCTTCTTCAACATCTTGAGTCATATTTGTTAAGTTAATATCATTGAGTTGCCATGTGTCAAGAGAAAGTTAGACTGTGGATACAGTTGAAATCTATATTGTGCGATAAGAATAGAGAATCGTCAAGAGGAGAGGGTGGGGGATTAAAGAATAGGAAAAGATTAAAGTGCAGTTTGTTAGGTATCGGTCGATTAATATCTACTATATATGTTTGATTGTATGATACAAATCGATGTGTATCACACCAGAAAGTTTATAAGTGATTATGGGAATCGATTAGGTGCATAATTATTATTATTTACCACATTCCACGGGTATTATTGCTGCTTTACCTCCATAGCTCTCATCGCGGGTAGATGTTTCGATTCCGTGTTTTAGTCTGCCTATTATCGATGAATTGATATAATAAATGTTCTGCAATTTGCTGTTGTTCCATAATTTTTGATCTTCAGAGAGATAATATTCCTAATCTGGTTTCTTCATGCGAAATATCTTGTTTATCTTCGACAACATTAATTTTTTTACGCCAAGCAATTTTTATGAATATTACTTAATGTCTCACTAATGCCGGTACATTTACAATTATGGAAAATAACTTTAAAACCTATGCATGGAATCCATCCACTAAAAGCTGTCATAGTTTTTTTGACATACGACAATAGGAACACGGTGCGAAATTTCAAAAACATTGTAAATTGCGTTTCGATTTTTGAATTGATATAATTATTTAATCTAGTGTGTGATTCCTATATGCACGTCATCTGGTAGGGTCATTGTCTCCTAGACAGTGTAGCGTATTTTTTT